CCTATTGGGAATCGAGCTTGCAACGTAAGCATGTGCCCTTGACCGGAATTGAACCGAGGACACTTTAGTCCACAGGTCAATGCTCTATCCACCAAGCCAAACCAGCTAGGGTTGAAACGGGATTAATATTAAGGATACAAAGAACACCTACATCTCAACAGCAAATAAACAGCTCAATTTAAAGAAATGGACAAAAAATTAAGACATTTTTCCAAAGAAGACATACAAATGGCCAATAAGCTTAACATCATTAATCAAGGAAATGCATATTAAAATCATGAGACATGGCCTCACACCATTTGGGATGATCACTACCAACCCAACCCCCACCTCCCATCATCAAAACAAAACAAAACAGAAAAACAGCAAAAGCAGAAAACAATAAATGTTGGAATATTGGCAGGGGTATGCAGGAACTGGAACCCTGCTGCATTATTGATGGGATTGTAAAATGGTGTAGCTTTTGTAAAAAACAATATGGCAATTACTGAAAAAATTAAAGAGGTTTACATATCATCCAGCAATTCTAGAATATACCCAAAAGAACTGAAATTGGGGACTCAAGATACTTGTACAACAATGTTCGTAACCCAAATGTCCATGAAGAGATGAATAAATAAACAAGTATGGGGTATACGTACAATGGGATATTAATCTGTCTTAAAAAGAAAGTCCTGACATGAATATGCATTGAAAATATGCTAAGTGAAATAAGTGGAACACAAAAGAACAAATATTGTATGATTCTATTTATATGAGGTTCCTAGAGCAGTTAAATTCATAAAGACAAAGTAGAAAAGGGTTTAACTGGAAGATGGGGAGAAGGGGGCATTAATGTTTAATGGGTACAGTTTATGTTTAGAAAGATAAAAAATTCTGGAAATAGTGGTGATGGTTGTACATTGTGAATGTGCTTAGTGTCACTTAGTGATACATTTAAAATCGTTAGAATGGTAAATTTCATGTTATGTGTATTTCCCACAATAAATAATGCCTGCCATGGTTAAGAACTTGGCAGTGAGGTCATATTTATCTGAAACCTGGATCTGCTACTTTTCAGCTGAGTGACTTTAAGAAAAATACTTAACCTCTGAAGAACTTTATCCTTTTATAAAATGAGGATATCACTACCTCATTGAGGTTGATGTCAAGATTAACATTAAAACAAGTAAAATGTCGAGCACAGGGCCTATCGCCCTATCATCTTAACAATGATGGATGGTTTGTTACTTTAACAGCTCTGGAGATTTTTTTTTAAAAGGTAGATTATCACTAAAAAAAAAAAAATAAGTGAAAAGAAGTGAAAAAGCTTGCACAGGTACCAGGTACCAAGAGAACTTTAAAAAAGGGAGGGGCAGCCTTGGCTTTTCAATAGTTCATGAAAACTTGAATATAGGGAACTACATTTACTCAAAGTTGAAGGGTGTGATATAAATGCTGAGAAAAGAAAATGCAATCTTAGGTCCCCAGTGTCAGTCTAGTACACCTATTATTGTGCTTATTTTAAGAACACTTTTTCAGACATGGATAAATAAAAGTGCTTCTGGAGGAGGGTTTCCAAGAATAATGAAGGATGGATTACATATAATGGAGACATTAACAACTATTCAAGTTACTCAACAATGGAACAGGCTTCAAGTACTAAAGCACTGATTTTACAGGAGGAATTACTACACTGGAAGGGAAGCGGAATGCTAGGAACAGTGACTTCGAAGGTACTTTGCTCTAAGATTCTATGATTCTAAATTTAAATTTTTAAACTTGGGCTTTTTGGAAAGACAATGCTACTCCATAAATAAAAATGCAATATGGAATGATATTCTCTTTGGAGTAGTAACTTTTGAGCAAAAGCAATAAGACAATTTCCCAAAATGTGTATTTCTAATTTGCAAATACACTTTAGGCAAAAAGGGCGGGAAAAAACACACTTAAAACCCACAAGCACAAATAAAACAACTTTAATAGATATTATTTTGTATTTATATAGTGCCTTCTTCAAGAACCTTAGATGCTTAACAGACATTTTATCTAATTAATCCCCACAACAACCCTGTGAGGTAGGTATTACTCCCATTTTACAAGAGAGGGAGACTGAAGCACAGAGAGGTTAAGTGACTTGCCCAAGGTCACACAGTTAAATTCATTGAAGAGCCAGGACCTGAGCACCTTAGCCTCCTAGCTCCCAGTTAAATACCTCATGAGAGAATCTTTAATGAAAAGTATCTTTAAAGAAAGTATCAAGAGTAGTATGTTATGAAAATGAGATTTTTCTACTGCCATCAAGGAAAGAAAAAACCCTATATGATGGTTAGAGACAACAAGATCCATATATTACACATTTCCTTTTCCTTCTGGAAGTCTCATGGCTCCTGTCTTAAATAATCTTCTAAAGGTAAAGTTGCCAAGACAGAAGCCATATGACTTCGAAGTGAGACTTAATTTAGAATATTTACTTTTAGTTATGATAATTTATATAAATTTTATTCCAATATACAAAATATGGAACAGCCACTCCCACCAATCATGTATATAGACAGCAATCAGCCACCATTTACATCTGAAGCCTGCCCTTCATTTCAACCACAGTCAACCCCCAGACAACCTCACAATGCTGTCTATATAGGTCACTTTTCTTACTATGTCTGCATTTCCCCCACAACCCTAACCCTATATGTTTTTAAAGTATGCTGAGTTTCTGATAAGCTTGCAAACATTCTACTTAGATGCAGCTGCACTAAGAGTAAAAAGTAAATTGAGAACCATCACCCCACAGTCCCTCCCCTGACGAATCATACCAGTACTATTAAATGTAGTATAGATGTGAACAGTGTATGACTACCATGGAACTCAACAAGAAAGCTATCATTTGCTTTAATATAAAATTGAACTGTAGCCTTTTCTGTTTTTTAAAATGCACAATGTGAAAACAAACAAAATATTTCAACTCTGTACCTTTATGCAAATGACTTCATCTATCTTTCTTACACATGCCATGGCCTGACTCACATAAAACTGACTCAGCTTCTCTTTACTCACCTTCTCTGTGCAGAAAACCACAGAAACACCACTTTAAAACCCAAGACAATTTGGTTTAAGCCCTCAAAATAAAAAATGCATCCAGTTCCACTGCTATGGCCTTCCCCACATTTTCGGTTGTGATTCTCTGTGCAATGCTGGTAAATCAGCCAGGCTATGTTATTTGTACAGAACAATTCCAGCCAAGATAAGGCTTCAGAAACTATACCATAATAAGTAATTTATCAAAATACCTCATAATTTTCTATCAGCACATCTGTTAGACAACCCAATTAACTAAGTGACCCTGTTAAAGATATGTTCATGGAATGAATAGGTGAAGTCATTTCCTGAGCTAAAAGATACAGATAATAAGTGTTAATTATAGCAGCAGACAAAAGGATTCTTTTTTGTTTTTCGTATTCAACAGTATTAATAAAATAAGTTTAGAAAATTACAGCAATTAAAAAAATTACTGCCTGAAAAAACTGATAAATAACATCCAAGGCTTGATTGCTATTATTTTGAATATATACGTATTCAAATACTTTCCACAAGTGACATTTGGTCACTGTCAGAGAACTTACTGATGCATGAAAAAGTGTCAGTTGCAAAAATTACACATTTTAATTACATACATTACTTCTTAAAACTCCTAACAGAAGGGAGTCTTAACAAAGTTAATTTCCAAACAGTCTCCCAGTAAGTTTGTAAAGGCGGATGGAGAAAAAGACATATTTGTGTATTCCTGGTCTACTTCATTAAAAGTTAATTTTCAAAGGTTTTTTCCACTAGCTACTGGGGTTATGACGAATGATTCCTTCTTTCCAAGGTAAAGAATGTCTCCAGAAAATAATATAACTGCTATGACATGAATCTTCCAGACATGACCTCAATTGGAAACATCAGAGTATTTAAGAATTCTAGAGACTAGTATACCACCACTGCACCAGAATGTCTTTTATCATCCCAACAACTATAGGGAATTTTTTTATAGTTTCTTATTTTGATGAAATTAAAGCTGAATAAAATAACTGACTTATAAGCTAAAACAAAAGACAAATATTTAGCCAGAGATATCAGTTCCTCCTGAAAAAAAAATTTTACCTCATCTCATTGCAATTTTTCTTATGGTATCTTACTGATTTAAATAGAGTTTAAAATTCACCTTAAAAATAGAAACAAGCAAAATGACTAGTTAACTGACAAAAGCTAATAAAACTTAAAAATATGCTCAAATTTACTGACAGAATCATGGGCACTTCATACAATACTTAGACTCTAGCAGTTTTAAGTAAAATAAATAAGGAAAACATTATAATTACAAAGCCAGTCTTTCCCCTTGGGGAAACAAAAAGCCACTTTTGACCAATTGTTCCCTACATATACATATACTGTATTTTATTAAAAGCTTCTTTAGAGAAGCAAAACATATTTGTCTTCCTGACACTGGATTCTAAAACCTATTAGTTTTTTATATCAGGAAGGCAACTGCAAGTGTTGGGCCCAAAAGTATTTCTGGTTTATGATTGAAAAGACCATCAAATAGCCTTTCTGTGCTCATTCAACACAGGCAAACTTATATACTGTGTTCTCTATCATCTCCTTAAATTATCAACATGATCTGGCACAGACCCCTATTCTTTCTACTGCACCTCGAAGGAGTTAAAATCATTACTGATGCAATTGATAAAGAGAACGTGTGTGATCAGTTACCGGAAGGCTGCTTTACAGGAGGAGCTGCTATCTCTGATGTCACTTCCTTGTTGAATGGAACTGCACAGACAGCATGATACCTGAGCAAATAAATCAACTACCATAATAGGAAGAGCTTGTTAATCCATAGTCTTTGCTTTATTGTGTGCAAAGTGTGCCACTGCCCCCTGAGCTTCCTGCATTTCTCTTTTCTTGAAAAATTAGTGCTTGATCCTTTCCATAATAACCAGAGAAGAAATGAGGCAGAAGTCTCTTCATCGCGGTTCCCCTCAGTCTCGAGACTGATAGAAAAGGATGTAACCAGACTCAGAGTTCTTTGAGATATCTGATGTCAACCCGTAGAATTCTTCAATAGCTTGTGCATCTATTTTCTGGGAGGCAAAATGTAAACATTAATACTTAAACAAGCTCCTTGGACTGCTTTAATCCAGCAAAACCTTCAACATTTCTTTGAAACATACCTTTCATTTTCTCATTTGTAAAATAGCTCTGCAAAACCAGAATAGCTTAAATTTAAAAGACTGATAATATCAAGAGTTGGTGAAAATATGGAGCAACTACAACTCTCATACACAGCTGGGGGGAATTTAAATTTATAGATACACTGGAAAAATGTTTAGCATCATCTAAAGCTGAACATTCAATTACCCTTTAATTCATCAATTCTATTTGTGGATATGGGCCTAACTATATGAAACCACTAATAGTTGTTGCTTAAGATTTGTGCACTTGGCTATAGGTATATTATAGCTTAATACAGTTCTTTTAAAAAAAAAAATCTGGTTTTATTGATTTTAGAGAGAGAGGGAGAGAGATAGAAACATCAATGGTGAGAATGAGCAACTGACAGCACGCTCCCTGAAACCTAGGCATATACCTAACCAGGAATCAAACCATGACCTCCTTGTTCATGGGTCGATGCTCAATCACTGATCAACACCAGCCAGCAAGATACATTTCTTCTTTAAATAAAAGTTTTTTTAAAATTAGTTCTGTCATTGAAAGATATCCCTTCTCATATTCTAAACACCATAAAGGTTAGCTGACAATTCAAGCATTGAATTGTAGGGAGTACAAAGTAGACCATAAAGGTTAGCTGACAATTCAAGCATTGAATTGATGTTAGGGAGTACAAAGTAGAAATTAGATTACAATCTGAAGATCTAGATATTTGTCTAATACTCAGTCTGCTATATATGAATGAGAAGCTGGGAGAAAAAAGTAAAGAGTAAAACATATATACCTTAAAGAAAAAGAAAAATTAAGAAATTACTTACTTCTACAATATCGTCATCAAACAACAACCAAAAGTCATGACTCTTAACTATTGCGATGTAATGGCCTCTATTAGGACCACTGAAATAAAGAGAAAGAAAAATTAACTTCACAAAATGTTTATTATTATCACTCTTTTATCCTTGAATTTCATGTGCTATAGAGTAAAAAACCTAAAATAGGTAGAAAAAAAAATACTCCTTACTTATCTATCCCTCCACCAAATCAAGCTATATTGATTTGAACTGGCATTCAATTTTATAATAAATTATTAGTACTCTACTTTGAGAGGTACAACTAGTATTCTATTTATATAAAGCTATGTTATTAAAATTCTTTATTGTCTTTGTAAGAGTTGTAAATATTTCTAAAAATACTTTACAAATTTGCTTTTATGAAAGATTTAAATAAAAATTTTCAGTAGGAGGGGATATGGGAGGGTAACATCCAATACATGCTGAGTTAAACTACAAAACAATGCATGTAGAATTATTTCTAAGTCTTACTCCCATGGCAACAGTTTTTCTCTAAAGGAAAGATCCTATTCATGATGCTTGAAAAGGAAAAAAAAAAAAAAAATATATATATATATATATATATATATATATATATATATATATATATATAAATAAATAAAAATAAATAAATATAAATAAATAAATTTTATATATATATATATATATATATATATATATATATATATATATATATATAAAAATTCATGGTTCTAAAATCAAGCTTAAACTCCATAAACTTCTTTAAAAACAAATGACATTTGCCCAATCATCAGTATCATTAGTGCTATCTTTAAGTTATAATTATTACTAAAGGCCCAGAGCACAAAATTCATGCATGGGGCGGGGGGGGGGGTGGTCCCCCTCAGCCAAGCCTGCACCCTCTCCAATCGGGGACCCCTCAGGGGATGTCTGACTGCCAGTTTAGGCCCAATCCCAGAGAATCCCTCTCACAATCCGGGACTGCTGGCTCCTAATTACTCACCTGCCTGCCTGCCTGATCGCCCCCAGCTGCCCCCCTCTACCAGCCTGATCACCCCTAACCGCCTCTGCCTGCCAACCTGATCTCCCCTAACTGCTTCCCCTCCTGGTCTGGTTGCCCCGAACGAGCCCCCCACCAGTCTGGTTTCTCCTAACTGCCCCCCCTGGTCATCCCTTACTGCCTCCTCCTCTACCCCACCCCCTCCTCTGTTGACCTGGTCACCCCAACTACCCCTCCCACCCACCGCTGCTGGCCTGGTAGCCCCTTACTGCTGCCCCCCCCCCAACTGTCCTTATGTCTGCCTTGTCAACCCTAACTGCTCCCCCTCACCATCCCGGTCACCCTCAACTACCATCCCCCCCACCCCCCGCCAGCCTGGTAGCCCCACACAGCCTGCTGTTCAGGCATTTGGATGTCCCTCACTAACCCCTCTGCCAGCCTTATTGCCTCACGCTGCATGCTGTTTGGTCATTCATCTGGTTGTTACGGTCGTGAAGGCCCTTGGCTTTTATACTGTATATTAGGATAATTACCTTTGTGTGTCAATTGAAACAAACCTAGAGTACAGAAGTCTAGATATATGTAAAAATAAAGGAGATTATTTCTTTTAAAAGAAATTCACTTTAAAAAAGATATGCTGAAGATTTCAATCTCTCAGTTGAAATAAAACTCATTATAAAAATGTATAATTTTTATTAAATTATAAATCCATAATTGATATTATAAAATTTGAAATGATTTTCAACACAAATTCTTCTTTATGATGAATACTGTTTTTAAAAAGCAGCAAGCTCAGACATTAGAATAAGTGACCTATTTCATTTCCCACTTGTTAGATTCTTAGTCCCATAGATGAAATTATTATCTTAGGTGAAAAAATGGCACAAACCAGAGGACTTTTTTACTGCAAAAACACCTCAAAATGGGTGTTTTTAAAAAATGCTTTTAATGCTGAAATAAGTCTAATTTCTTCATTTCTATTGGATTCATCTAAGCAGTCATTTTAGAGTGAGAAGTAAGAAATGGAGGGTAAAAACATTTCAAGGGTGTGAAATTTTAAAAAAAAATCAAGAAAGGTTGAGCAACAGAACCTGAGAGGGAAAAAGTAGATAGACTAAACACAGGTAAGTATTATATCAGACTGAAATGGTTAGCCACCTTTATTCTTTAGCTAGGCAAAAGTTAATTACAGAAACTAATAAGATGAAGACTGAGGGTAAGAAATTGATACCTAACGAAGTAGTTAATCAGTGATTTACATTCAGAACATGAAACATGTTCAGTTCAATATGCACAGATGCCTGGTATGTACAAATGACTGCTATTTCTGTGGGGATTAGAGAGAGCAACAAAGTCCTGCCCTAAAGACACTGCCAGTTCACTAGGAAACTACTCCAGAGGTGTATACAGATGAGAATATAAAAGCAGAGCCAAGGGACAATGAAATAAGACCTCATCCAGTGAGAGAGGAAGGGAAAAAGCTGAGGAATCAAGAAAGGTTAGTTACACAGAGGAGTTGGGGTTTGAAATGGGCTTTAAGTATCAGCAAATATTTGTTGTAAACCCAGGCATTGGGGATAGAGAGCGAGCAAACTGGATAGGCACAGACATGCTGAAAATTAGATCCCCCAATAGTCAAAGGCTTTGGGCAAAGGCAAATGCTTTATAATGATATGAAATGTATCTACAGATAAGTATCATAAATAAAAATAAAAAAAATTGCAATTAGACAAGAAGAGGATATAAATTGGAAAAGAAGTAGTAAAGTTATCCTTATTTGCAGATGACATGATATTGTACATAAAAAACCTAAAAGACTCCATTAAAAAACTAATAGACTTAATAAATGAATTTGGCAATGTAGCAGGATACAAAATTAACGCCAAGAAATCTATGGCATTTCTATACACCAATAGTGAACTTGCAGAAACAGAGAATAAAAAGGCAATCCCATTTATCTTTGCACCAAAAAAATTAAGATACCTTGGAATAAACTTAACTAAGGAGGTAAAAGACCTATACATGGAAAACTACACGACACTGAAAAAAGAGATAGAGGAAGATGTAAACAGATGGAAGAACATACCATGTTCATGGATTGGTAGAATCAACATCATCAAAATGTCCATACTTCCTAAAGCAATCTATAGGCTCAATGCACTCCCAATTAAAATACCAACGGCATATTTCACTGACCTAGAAAAAACTCTTCAAAAGTCCATTTGGAACAACAAAAGACCCCAAATAGCCACAGCAATCCTGAGAAAGAAGAGTAAAGTAGGAGGGATCTCAATACCAGATTTCAAGCTGTATTACAAAGCCACTATTCTCAAAACAGCCTGGTACTGGCACAAGAACAGACATATAGATCAATGGAATAGAATTGAGAATCCAGATATCAACCCAAATCACTATACTCAATTAATATTTGACAAAGGAGGCATGAACATATAGTGGAGCCAAGACAATCTCTTCAATAAATGGTGTTGGGAAAACTGGACAGATACATGCAAAATAATGAAACTGGATCACCAACTTACACCATACACAAAAATAAACTCAAAATGGATACAGGAAACCATAAAAATACTAGAGGCATCCACAGGCAGCAAAATCTCAGACATATGCCAAAAGAACTTCTTCATTGATACTGCCCCTAGGGCAATGGAAGCTAAAGAGAAAATAAACAAATGGGACTACATCAAAATAAAAGGCTTTTTTACAGCAAAGGAAACCATCAACAAAACAACAAGAAAGCCCACTGTATGGGAGAACATATTTGCAAATGTTATCACTGATAAAGGTTTAATCTCCAACATCTACAGACAGCTTATACAACTTAGTAAAAGGAAGATAAATGGCCCAATTAAAAAATGGGCAATGGATCTAAATAGAATCTTCTCAAAAGAAGACAGAAGGAAGACCAAGAGGCACATGAAAACATGCTCAAAGTCACTAATTATCAGAGAGATGGAAATCAAAACAACAATGAGGTACCATCTCACACCTGTCACAATGGCCAACATCAACAAATCAACAAATGACAAGTGTTGGCAAGGTTGCGGAGAAAAAGGAACCCTCGTGCACTGCTGGTGGGAATGTAGACTGGTGCAACCACTGTGGAGAACAGTATGGAGCTTCCTCAAAAAACTGAAAATGGAACTCCCATTTGACCAAGTAATCCCACTTCTAGGAATATATCCTAAGAAGCTAGCAACATCAATCAGAAAGGATATATGCACCCCTATGTTCATAGCAGCACAATTTACAATAGCTAGGATTTGGAAACAGCCTAGGTGCCCATCAGCAGATGATTGGATCCAAAAACTATGGTACATTTACACAATGGAATATTATGCTGCCATAAAAAAGAAAAAATTCTCATTGTTTGCAGCAACCTGGATGGAAATGGAGAACATCATGCTGAGTGAAACAAGCCAGTGAATGAGAGACACCACATGACCTCACTTATTTATGGATAATAAAGAACATTATAAACTGAAGAACCAAAAGATAAGATATAGAGACAGTAAAGCAACAAGCAGACTGTCAAATTACAACAGGGAGGTTGGGGAGATCTGAGGGAGATAAGAGATCAACCGAAGGACTTGTATACATATATATAAGTACAACCAATGGACACAAAACTCTGGGGAGGGAGGGTATGTACGGGACGGGGGGGCATTGGTATATGTACAAAAATAATAAATTTAATAAAAAATATATTAAATAATTAATTAATTAATTAAAAAAACTTAAAATATCTTTAGCGTTTTGTTTAATGAATGAATTATTTCACATTTTTAAAAGTGTATTCTTGCCTTAGCCAGTTGCTCAGTGGTTAGAGTGTTGGCCCGCTGACTGCAGGGTAGTGCATTCAATTCCTGGTCAAGGGCATGTGCCTCTCAGATGCAGGCTCCATCCCGGACTGGGTTGGGGCATGTGTGGGAGGCAACCAATCGATGTGTATCTCTCATATCGATGTTTCTCTCCCCTCTCCCCCACCAACTCACTCTTAAAAAAAAACAAAAAAAATTAAGCCCTGACCTATTTGGCTCAGTGGATAGAGCGTCAGCCTGCGAACTGAAGGGTCCCAGGTTCGATTCCGGTAAAGGGCATGTACCTTGGTTGCGGGGACATCCCCAGTTGGGGGTGTGCAAGAGGTAGCTGATTAATGTTTCTCTCTCATCGATGTTTCTAACTCTCTGTCCCTCTCCTTTCCCTCCGTAAAAGAACAATAAAATATATATATTTTTTTAAATCAATTTAAAAAAATATCCTCTAGTGAGGATTACATAGATAGATATCGGGTCTAGTAATAATTAATGTCGTTTTTAAACATTTGTTTAAAATCTTGCTTGGCGTTGACTTGTATTGACATAACCTTCAAACACGTGGTATCTACAGAATGTGTGAAGTGCAATTAACAAGTTTTGCTTGAAAAAGTTTGTGTTTGGTTTGGTTTTTGTTGCAAAACTAGGGCTAAGAAGATGGCAGATGAAGAGCATATTCGGCACTGCATGCTTTACGAGTTCCAATTAGGAAGAAAAGCAAGTGAGGCTGCAAAAAACATCTGTAGTGCTCTTGGTCAAGATGCAGTTAGCGCCAGAAAATGCCAGCGTTGGTTTGAGAAATTTCGCAAGGGAAATTTTTCGTTAGATGACAAGAGTGGTCGAGGCCGTGTGTCCAATTTTGATCAAGAAGCTCTTCAAGCTCTTTTGGTGCAAAATCCTCAAATTACCCAACAAGAGCTTGCGACAACTTTAAATTGTTCACAAAAAACAATTTCCAATCAATTGCGTGCACTTGGCAAAGTCCAAAAGTTTGGAAAATGGGTTCCTCATGAGTTGACCGACAACAACCGTAATCAAAGAGTCACAATTTGCAGTTCGCTCCTCTCTCGTCAAAACCGTTTGCCGTTTTTAGAGCAAATTGTTACCGGAGATGAAAAATGGGTGCTGTATGTTAATTTGAAAAGGCGGCCTCAATGGTTGGACAAAATGAGGCTCCGCAGCCCACGCCAAAACCTGACTTGCATGCGAAAAAAGTGATGTTGTGTGTTTGGTGGAATTTTAAAGGAATTCTTCATTATGAACTTTTACCATCTAACCAAACCATTACAAGTGCAGTGTATAGTGCCCAATTGGAAAGGTTAGCCCAAGCTTTAAGAGAAAAAGAACCCATGCTGATTAATCGGAAGGGCGTAATTCTTCACCACGATAACGCACGACCGCATACTGCAAGAATCACTGCTGAAAAACTGCGCCAGTTGGAATGGGAAGTTCTCCCTCAACCTGCATATTCTCCTGATATTGCCCCTTCCAATTACCATTTGTTTCGTTCTTTGCAAAACTTTCTTCTTGGAAAAAAATTTAATAATGAAAAATGCCTCAAAAATGCATTGACCGAATTTTTTGCATCAAAATCACAAGAATTTTACAACAGAGGGATTAAAATGCTTCCTGAGCGTTGGACACAAGTAGTAGAAAACAACGGCAACTATATTGTTGATTAAATTTTGTTGTATTGTTTAAATAAATTCGATTTTAAAAAAGTATTAGAAAACGACATTAATTATTACTAGACCTAATAGAGCCCATTCTCTTAAGGAAAAACAGATGTTTAAGGCAGGGCACCACAGTGAAAGAAAAGGAAAAATAAGAGACTAGTGTGGGTTGGGATGTGAAATAGCTTCTGTGAAGAACTTAAGCAGGAATGAACTCCACCACAGTCAGCTGGCCCATGAGGAGTCAATGAGCATTCCTCAACTTTCTGCAGCATTCTGACAGCGAGGGCTGGAGACATGAACAGGCAGCAGGAGAATGTCACAGTGTTTGCAACAATGTTTTTACTAGAAGCCCAGTGCATGAAATTTGTGCACTGGCAGGGTCCCTAGCAGCTGCTGGCTGGGTGCTTCCTCTCTTCCTCTGGCCGGCCCTGCCCCCTGGTTGAACTCCCAAACGAATTCCCGGTTGAGGGGACAACTGGCATACTACACTTTTATTATAGGATAACTGACTGGTGGCAATGCTGGGAGGAGAAGCAGAGGTGGCCAAGGAAACTGTTAAAAAGAAAGATCAAGAGACAAGAAGCTATAAGGGAAAAAGGGTGGATTAAATTTTAAAAGATGACAGTGAGGGGAGGGAGCTCAGGGCTGTGATAAGGAAGCTCAGAGTTCAAGATCAATTCCAAAAGATGGAGCAGAATTTAAATGGGGTAAAACTGTCACTGAATATAAAGTTATGGTGTGAAAAGCTAATGTTATTATTGTTGTTGTTAAAACAGTAGCAGCAGCTAAGTGATTTACATTTTCCTTTTAATCCTGATAATGCAATAAGACAGTCGATATTACTTACCTTTTATAGAAGAGAAAAAGGACATCCAGTTAGTTCTTTATAGTCACAATTACCAAAAATGGCAAAAGGAGAACTGAAACCAAGGTTTCTTTGCCTCTAAAGCCTCTGGACTAAATAACTACAGATTCTTTATATCTATTGCTTTCAGATGTCATCACTCTTAGGTTAGAAATGGAATGCTCCAAAAATGGAAAAATAATAGCAAAGTACAGGGAGACAGGCTAATGAAGGCAATGGAAGTTCAAGACTGTTACGGCAGTTGACTTCCAGTTGTCATTACATATTCTGAGCAGAGAGAGGGGAGGGGACAACTAAACTTGGGAGGCAGGGGCTTTCTTATTTGGATAAAACATACTATTAGTATAACTTTCCCCAAACCTGGAGAAAAAGATAAGTGTCTTATTTTATAATTATTACAGGAAATTCTCAACAGTCAATGAAGACTGTATGTTTCAAGTATAAATTCTAATTACATGATGCTCTTATAGTTTAAGAATTTTTTTTAATCTATTTTACAAATTAAGAAATCACACTAAATTGGCTAATGGGAAGTAAACAGACTGAGATAAAAAAAGCAGAAAACTTATCTTTGCAGATTATTTCCAAAGCCATTTTAAATGGTTTTCATGACCATTAACACAATGAACATATCCAATGAATCTAAGAAATAATTTATTTTGCAAATCTATTTAGGCACCATCATTTAAAAATAAATAAATGGGGGGAAATAGGCCTTAATGTTCTTAGAGTAATATTTAAACAATAAGAAAAAATTCAAATCCAGAGAGGGGAAAGGGTGGGGGGAATGAAGAGGGTAAAGGGAATCAAATTTATGAAGACACGACTTTGGGTGGTGAGCACACAACAAAGCATACAGATAATATACTGTAGAATATGTGTAAGTATTTTCATTTATAAAAGTTTTAAGGAGGAAATGATAAAATCTATCTGGATGAGAATCTCTGAAAGGAGATCTCTGGAATCCCTCAAGAATACCCTAAATGCTCACTGTTCACCAACCCATCCTCCCACTGCCAGGCCCCACAACTGCAATTACCTTCCACAGTGAACCACAACAGCAACAAGGTCATACATTCTGTCAGGATTGGTTGCATCACCTGAAGTGTTAAAGAGACGAAGTTCTAAAGGAAAAACTACCCGGTAAGAAAGTTTGGTGTATCGATGAAGTTGATCCATGTATTTAAATCTCTTCAGGTGTAGAGCTAGAATCATAGGCAGCTTTTTAACTTTCATCCTATTAAAATAAACATAAAAATAAAATTTCATAAAAGATGTACACTATATCCTTAAAAGAATGAGCAAATTTTATTATTCCATTAACAAATGGTTAACTGTCAGTTTTAATAGCCAACGCTGCCCTTTTTTGAATATTTCTAGCAGTTATTTTTATATTGAGAAAGCAATATTTTGAACATCTTAAAACAACTCCATCCCACCTTACCCATCATCACCAAACCACATAAGTTGACTGAGCACCCAACATGGCTTCAAAGCACATGGAAGACTATGGACTTTGTTAAGAAATCTATTTCTCAAATATGATAAGGTTAAATGCACATGGTGTCTACGACTAGTGGAGGGAAAACCAATTTTCTAAAACCACCAACTCTTCTGGATGTGAATGGAGACTCAAATCATTGGTTTAATCAAATTTATATAATTAATAACAAGTTGAGAGTTCCCGGACAAGATGGGGGAGAGGGTAAATGAGGTAATCACATCATCCCACAACCATGTCAAAATTACAACTAAACTATAGAACAATTATTCAGAACCACCTGAAACTTATTGAACAGAAGACCTACAACTAAGGATATAAAGAAGTCACATCAAGACTGGTAAAAGGAGTGGGGACACAAAACGGGCTGGTCCTACACAAAGTGGCAACAGTAGGATCATATCTCAACATGATTAAGATCATATGTGACAAACCTACAGTGAACATCATATTTAATGGGGGAAAAACTAAAACCATACTGAAAGAACAGGAATATGACAGAGATGTCTGCTTTCATTCATATTTTTCCATTGCTTTTTAAAGAGAGTGGAAGAGAGAGGGAAAGACAGAGAAATATCAATGTAAGAGAACCACATCAATTATTTTGTCTCCTGCAGGAGCCCCAACCAGGGCTCAGGCCAGGGAGGAACCTGCAAACCGAGGTATGTGCCCTTGACCTTTTAATCCACAGGCTGAAGCTCTATACACTGAGCGAAACCTATCTAGGGCCACTTCCACCAGTCTTATTCAATACTAGAGGCCCAGTGCATGACATTTGTGCACTGGGGGCGGGGGATCCCTCATCCTGGCTTACACCCTCTCACAGTCTAGGACCCCTCGGGGGATGTCTGCTAAGGGGTCCTTAATGCGGCTGTGGAAGCAGGAGAGCTCCTGCCATCACCGCTGCACTTGCCAGCCATGAGTCTGGCTTCTGGGTGGGCGGCACTCCCCCGGTGGATTCACACTGACCACCAGAGGACAGCTTCTGCATTGAGCCTTTGCCCTCTGGTGGTCAGTGTGTGTCATAGCAACTGGCCTTTTTGGGGTTTGGTCGATTTGCATATTACCTTTTTATTATATAGGATATTATAGGATAGTACTGGAAGTCTTAGTCACAGCAATAAGACAGGAAGAAAACATAAAAGGCATCCAAATTGGAAAGGAGGAAGTAAAACTATTATCTGCAGGTGACATGATATTGTACATAGAATTTAGTAATGTAGCAGAATACATAATACTCCAAAAATCTATGGCATTATTATACATCAATAATGAATTTTCAGAAAGAGAAACTAAGCAATCCCATTTACTATTCCAACAACAACAACAAAAAATAAGATATTTAGGAATAAACTTAACCAAGGAGGTAAAAGATTTGTACTTAGAAAACTGCAGAACACTGAAAAAAGACATAGAGAAAGATATAAACAATTAGAAGAATATACTGTGTTCATGGATTGGTAGAATTAACATCATTAAAATGTCCATACTACCCAAAACAATATACAGATTTAATGCAAACCCTATTAAAATATCAACAGCCTATTTTACAGATCTAGAATAAACACTCCAAAAATTTATTTGTTACCAAAAAAGACCCCAAATAGCTGCAGCTAACTTGAATAAGAAGAACAAAGTTGGAGGGATCACAATACCAGATACTACATTATACTATAAAGCAATCATAATAAAAACAGCCTGATACTGGTACAAGAACAAGCATATAAATCAATGGAACAGGACACAAACGCCAGAAAATGACCCAAGCCATTACACTCAATTGATATTTGACAAAGAGGGCAAGAACATACAATGGGCCAAAGCCGGTTTGGCTCAGTGGATAAAGTGTCGGCCTGCGGACTGAAAGGTCCCGGGTTCGATTCCGGGCAAGGGCATGTACCTTGGTTGCGGGCACATCCCTAGTGGGGGGGAGTGCAAGAGGCAGCTGATCGATGACTCTCTCTCATTGATGTTTCTAACTCTCTATCCCTTTCTCTTCCTCTCTGTGAAAAACCAATAAAAAATATTTTTTTAAAAAAAATCATACAATGGACTCAAGACAGTGTCTTCAATAAATGGTGCTGGGAAAATTGGACAGATGAATGCAAAAAATGAAACTAGACCACCAACTTACACCATACACAAGAATAAACTAAAAATGGATAAAAAGCTTAACTATAAGTCATGAAACCATAAAAATCCTAGAAGATATCATAAGCAGCAAAATCTCAGATATTTCTAGTAACACTATGTTTACCAATACATCTCCTAGGGCAAAGGAAACTAACAAGAAAATAAACAAATGCAACTATATCAAAATAAAAAGCTTCTGCACAGTAAAAGAAACTATCAACAAAATGAAAAGGGAGCCCACTATATGGGAGAACATATTTGGCAATGATACATCTGATAAAGGATCAATAGACAAAAACATAGAAGAAACTCATACAACTTAACAAAAGGAAGACAAACGACCCAATAAAAAAAATGGGCAAAGAACCTAAATAGATACTTCTCCAAAGTGGACATACAAATGGCCGAGACATGAAAAATGCTCAAAGTCGCTGTTCATCAGAGAGATGCAAATTAAAACAACAATGAGGTATCACCTCACACCTGTCAGAATGACTATCATCAACAAATCAATAAAATACAAGTACTGGCAAGGGTATAGAATAAAGGAAACCCTGGTACACTACTAGTGGGAATGCAGACTGGTGCAACCATTATGGAAAAATTTAAATATGGAACTGCCATTGACTCAGAGATCACACTTCTAGAAATACTAGAGGCCCAGTGTACAAAATTCATGCACGGGGATGAGGAGGAGGGAAATCCCCTCAGCCCAGCCTGCAACAATGCCAGCATCCAGTGCCCCAGCCAGCCTCAGGCCAGAGGCCCATCCGCCCTCCCTCCGTAGGACAGGGTACGTGGGACACTGGGACCCGTCGCCAGGGCAACACTGCCAGTGTCCAGTGCCCAGCTGCTATATGTGTTGCCATCTTTGTGATGGAGTAATGGTTAATTTGTATATTACCCTTTTATTACATAGGATATCCTAAAAAATTTGAAATACTAAACAGAAGGAATGTATACACCTCCATGTTCATATCAACACAATTTATAATAGCTAAGATCTGGAAACAGCCCAAGCGCCCATCCATTAGATGAGTGAATAAAAAAGCTGTGAAGCTGAAACCAGTTTGGCTCAGTGGATAGAGTGTCAGCCTGCAGTCTGAAGGGTCACGGGTTCGATTCCAGTCAAGGGCATATATATTGGTTGTGGATACATCCCCAGTGGGGGGTGTGCAGGAGGCGGCTGATCGATGTTTCTCTCTCATCGACATTTCTAACTCCCTTCCTCTCTGTGGAAAATCTAAAATAAAATAAAATAAAATAAAATAAAATAAAATAATAAAATAAAATAAATAAAATAAAATAAATAAAATAAAATAAAATAAAAAGTTGTGAAATACTATGGAATACTATGCAGCAGTAAAACCAAAACAAAAAACCTCTTAGCCTTTTAGACAGGATGGAAGGACTTGCAGAATATTATGCTAAGCAAAATAAGCCAGTTGGATAAAGACAAGAATCACACGATCTCACTCATATGTGGAGTCTAATGAACAAAATAAACTGATGAACAAAATAGATCCAGAAACACAGAAGCATAGAACAGACTGCAGAATCTCAGAGGGAAAGTGGGAAAGGGTGGGTGGGAAGTTATTAACCAAAGAACTTGTATGCATATATACATAACCAATGGACAGAGAATAGGATGGTAAGGCTTGGGGAGGGGGACAGGGGCAGGCAAGAAGGGGTCAATGGGGAGGAAAAAGGGGAACATATGTAATACCGTCAACAATAAAAATTTAAATTTTTTCTGATTTTATTATTTTTTAATCTTTATTGTTCAGATTACAACAGATGTCCCATTCTCCCCCCCCAACCCCCATAACTCCTCTCCACTCAGTTCCTATCCCACCCAGGCCCTCATCACCCCACTGTCCACTTCCATCAGTACTGCATACATACATGTTTGTCCAATCTCTTCCCGCAACCCTCCCCCCCACACTTTTTCTCCGAAGAAACGTCAATCCACTCCATTTCCATGCCCCTGATTTGATCACATTAGAGTTTATTCTGTTCGTTAGATTTTTTATTCATTTGACTTGTAGATTCACTTGATATGTATTTGTTGTCACTTTGTTGTTCATAATTTTTATCTTTACCTTTTTCTTCTTCTTCTACTTTTAGAGAATTCCCTTCAGTATTTCATATAACACTGGTTTGGTGGTGATGAATTCCTTTAGCTTTTTCTTGTCTGTGAAGCTCTTTATCTGACCTTCAATTCTAAATGATAACTTTGCTGTGTAATCTTGGTTGCAGGTTCTTGCTATTCATCACTTCGAGTATTTCTTGCCACTCCCTTCTGGCCTGCATAGTTTCTGTTGACAGACAGAGTATGGGTACTTCCTTGGAGGTAACTGTTTTTCTCTTGCTGCTTTTAAGATTCTCTTGTCTTTTGCCCTTGGCATTTTAATTATGATGTGTCTTAGTGTGGTCCTCTTTGGATTCCTCTTGTTTGGGATTCTCTGCGCTCCCTGGACTTACAAGTCCATTTCTTTCACCAGGTAAGAGAAGTTTTCAATCATTATTTCTTCAAATAGGTTTTCAGCATCTTCCTCTCTCTCTTCTTCTGGCACCCCCATAATTCAGATATTGATACGTTT